CCCCCCCCCCGGCCCCCCGGGGCAGGGCACACAGGCCGGCGGAGGCCCGGCGCAAAAGAAACCGAGCGAGGGGCGCCGCGCGACCGGGGCCGCCTCGGGCAAGTCACTGACCACTTGCGGACGCCACTTGCATGGGCATTCCACGTACCCGGGTGGCGCACCGGCTTCGGGGAATGCATAAGGACATGTGCGAGCGGCTGGCTCGCTCGCCCACCCACCCACCATCAGGGCCCCGCGCCCCGGCCCCCGCACGCGCGCACGCACGCACACACACCGGGCCAGCGGGGAAGGGGGGTCCCCCGCGCACCCGAGGGCGCCCTATCTCTAGCCACACAATAGAAGGCCGCGCGCGCGGCGGTTGATGTATTGTTGACCCGCCTGCGCTCATATGTGTCCGTCCATATGTATGTTCCCCGTCATATATTACTCGCATTTACGGGGGCGCCGGCCGGATATTCGGGCATATATGCGAGTGCGTTCGGTGGGTTTCTTTTTTCGCCAGCCCCCGGCGGGGGGTGGGGCGCGCCGGCGTCCTCGCTGGCCCCCCCCCCCCCCCTCCCCCCAGGGCTGGCGGGACACCGGTGCATTCGCCCGTCCGCCGGGGGCCGGCCACCCGGACAGCCACGTTCCCCACCCGGGGTTAACAGCGCCCACGCCGCACGCAGCCGCGCGAGCGCGAGCGCGCGCGCCCCGGCCGCGAGCCGCGGAGCATGCCACCCGCCCGGCTCGCCGCGCCGCCGACCGGCATGTGCCGGCGCGACTGAAACACCCGTCCTGTCGGGCGGGCTTTTTGCCTTTTTTCCGGGCGTTTTCCCGCCAGCCAGCCGGCCAGCATGTCTGGTTGGCCCGATCGCGCACATTCCGCACGTCCCCCCCCCCCCTGCCCGGGGGCGGAGGCGCGGCCGGCCGATCTCGCGCCGGCGTCCTGTCACGCGCCGGCCCGGCGCCGGGGGCGGCCCTGGCCGCGATCGGCCCCCGGCGCCGGGCGACGGCCCTTGCCCGGGGGGGGGGGGGGGGCGCGCGGGCGTGCGGTCCTCCTCCCCCGGGCCCGACGCGCACCCCTGCCGGTGACACCCTCCGGCCGGCCAGCGAGCCGGCCGCCGGGTCCGCGCCCGGGGCATGGCCACGTCCCCCAATCCTCGAGGGAATCCCCGGCCGCCGCCGCCGCCGCCCCCCCCCCCCCGGGGCTTGGGCGCGTGCACACCGGGCCCGGCGTGCGGGCCAGTTGCCCGGGGAGCGGTGGCGCGCCCGGGTCTGGTGTGCGTGCGCGCGTCCGCCGTTCCCGCGCACGCATACCCTCGTCGCGGCCCCGGCCCGAGGGCGGGCGGCCCGCGCCCGGCCAGCGTCGCTAGCCCCCCCCCCCCCCCGGCCGGCAGCATGGCGCCTAATGATGTTTGTGACCGGCCCCGCGCGGCCGGCGTTTTTCCTATTTGCCGGTCTGTGTGTCGTCGTGCGCGGGCCCGCGCGCATGCGGCTGTGTGTCATCCCGCCCCCGCCCCCGCCCCCGCCCCCCTTCCCGGCTTGTGTGCGTGCGCGCACGCGCCGCGCGGCCAGAGCAAGGCGCACGCGCGCACATGCACATCCGGCCCTCCTCCCCCCGCCCCACCCCCGGCCGGGCGCAGATCACCCGCAGCATGGCCGGCGGCGTGTTCCGCCCTGTGCGCGGCCCCCGCGCCCCCCCCCCTCGCCCGAGCGCCAAGGCGCGCGCGGCCAATGGCCCGGGGCCATTGT